GCTACAGTTAATTCTCTCAGAGGATCAAAAATGGCAACTCACGTTCAGATAATATGGTTTCTTCTTTCTTTCCTCCTTTTTCTTCAGACAGAACAGACAGGTATGCCATTCGTTTTAATGTTACTTTAATTTGGCTTTGTTCTGATCTTCTAAACACACGGGACCAACAAGAATATTCTTTGTCTTGTGTAATTTTTACTTGCTAGCACAGGCTGGCATCATTGAAAAGCGGGCGGTTTTTATGTTCATCCAATCTTCTCCTGTTTTTTGATACATTGTAGTAAAATCTGTAATTCAGCTACTGAGGCAAAAGCTTTTGGAAAAAATGATGACATGACGTTCAGTTGATGTTGCACAATATTCTCTCTTTACTCCTCACTTGTTATCCTTAAATAGTATTTCTAATTATTGTAAGGACTAACAATGAGTTTATGGTAGAAGTTTGTTTCATATAGAAAGCTCATTTTTACATGAATTGCATAAATACACTTTTCTGCATTAATGTGCTAGAATACCCCACAGGGAAGGAAAAGGAAGGGGAGAAAGGAAAGTAAGTCTGCATTTATTAATTGGAATTTGAGTGAAAAAAATACAAATTTCTACTTAAGTATGTAATATGCCATAGTGTACACACACACACACACACACATATATTAAATTACTTTCAACTGAGATCATATTAGTGATAAAAATACAATATTAGCCACTTAAGGAAAATATGAACTATACAAAGTCAGTGAAATACAGTAGTTGAATTTTTAAGTATAATGGAGAATATTTTTTGAATACTGAAAACCCTGTTAGAATGATTCTGTTCCATGGGACTCATTTTAAAGGTTTAACTAAGACATTAAATACAATTTCAGAACATCTTCCTCTTACTGCTATCACTATTGATGATTATTAATTGCTGGGTTTTTTTCTCCATAATGGCTAGAGCCTCCCAGGCATGGACCACACTCTGATAGACATTGCACAAACACAAGAAAAAAATAACAGTTCTTGTCCCCAATAGTTTATTACTTAGGTGTAAGACAAGAGACAACACATGGAGACAGACAGGTGTAGGAGAACACGGCCGCTGAGACAGCCCTAGTCAACATGACAGGCAGTAGTTGTAGAACGTCAGCAGCCAAAGTGTTACCAAGTTTTTTCTGGCATTGTGATAATCCAAATCCAGAAGGAGCCCCAGGAACCAGAAGGATATGGCATAAGCTATTATCATGTTTTTTGAACGTTGTTGGGCTTCAATTTGTGCAGAAAATGAAAGTTATTTGACACACAGGTGAAGGACCATATTTTGCCATCTTTACTCTGTGAATAATCCAAAACAGTCAGAGAAAGAAGTTCAGGCTGAGACACTGAAAAATAACTTGGCACAAATAATTCTCTCCACTTCTGCAGAGAGGTTTCAAATCTCCAGGGGTTGGGGCTTACTAACTCTTTTAAGTGGGGAGTCTCTTTGGCAACATTTCTCTCACCCAAACCCAGCAGAGCAGGTGAGAAAGCCCTTTCCTTAGGACTTATTTTGTGAGGACAATATCAAGTCAGGATGGAGGGGGGCGGGAATTATTGCTAGGGAGATGTGCATAATTGTTCCTCCAAGAGAAATTCTCCAGAAAAATTAAACATAGAGTCCTAATTTTCATTGGTTATTTATATTTGCATAGTGCAGACAAGCCCTAGTTGGAGGCCAGGACCCTCTTGTTTTTTAGGCACTGTACAAACTTGGACAAAAACAAGGGCCATGTAACATTTCTGTACTGTAGAGCTATAGCTGATACAGAGGGTTCTGGGTAAGTGGACCTGATGGAGCTTGGCTTCTATCAGAACCAGACTGCCATGTGGTCCAGGACAGAAGAGAGGCAGAGTAAGAACAATAAGGACATATGTATGGCCTTGGCTCACTACATTCCCTGGGACTTGGGGGTTGTAGATGCTAAACTAATGGCTCAGTCCATGGCAGTATTATATTACCTGCTCTTGTTATACATTTTTTTTCAGTGTTTCTATCTGCTAAGGATGCAAACAAAGTTATTACAAGGGCCAAGCGAGCCCGTTTCTTTTTTTTTGAGGAGTTCCTCCAAGGCAACTTGGAAAGAGAGTGCCTTGAAGAAAGATGCTCACTCGAAGAGGCAAGGGAAGTGTTTGAAGATGACAAAAAGCTTGTAGGTATTTTTTTTATTGTTTGTTTTCTAAAGATTAGAGCACTTACTGTTTGTTATTTGATAGATAGGAAGCAGTTCACACTGCCACTGTACCTACAATACACTACCTAGATTTCTTTGCAGGGCAAAAGTATTGCACATTGTACTTTGGCACTGAAGTATTTTCTTGCCACAGTAGTGAATTGAGGGAAGAGAGCAGATGCAAAGGGAGTAGCATGAGAGAGTGGTGTCTTCCCAGCAAGGAGAACTAGCAGCCATGATCAGGAGGGCAGCCCACCTTGTGCCAGATGTTTGTTTTTGCAGCACCATGCATTGTGCCACCTGCCAGCAGTGCACAGTATGCATTTTATGCCAGGGACCTATCTGCAAGAACAGTAAGGGAGGCAGATGGAGAGGATGCCAAAGGCAACTGGGTGGGAGGTGGGGCTGCGTGGGTAGCTTAGTGGTTGGAGGGTTGGCGATGTATTGAAAAGCGCTACAATCCAGGCCATGTGATGCAGTACACAACAAAACTCACCTGATCCAACTTTCTGCTCTTTGAAGTACTGGTGGGAGTGAGTGACTGACGGTTTCTTCCCAAGTGCTTGGCAAGGCACAGCAGGGGACAAGACAAATGAATGTGCTTCAGACTTCAGATCTTCAGTGCTGAAGGGGTTTGGTGTTGTCACTGATTATCACATACTAATGCCCAGACATCTCTTACACACAACACAGACCTTTTCTTCCCTAATATTTTTTCGCAGTGATTTACTTATTCTGAAATAAAGCATCAGGTTCAGATCCTGTGCTCTGACTCAAGGAAAACTCCCATTTCATTTAATGGTGCTTTTGTCAATCGAGCTTGTAAGAGTGATTCTTTAAGCTTAAATTATAATACTTATTCTTTGCTGTGCTTTTGCTGTGACAAAATATTTGTGGAAAAAAAGTCAGTTTTAGAAAAAAATAACTTTTTTTTTATTTCTTTCAGAAAATATTTTGGAATGGTTACTTTGGTAAGCAGACTATTTAATTTCCATTTGCAGAATGACAATGTCATGGTCATTACACTGAGGATTATGCATTTTATAGGGGGTTTTGAGTAGTGTATTCTGTTGAAATATTAATTTAAATATCCAACTGCTATTTATTATGTCTTCAAGAATGTGTGGGAAACCATTTACACAAACCCAAGAGTGGTCATTATAAAAACAATGATTTAAGAATTAATTAAACTGTGAAGACAATAAAACCAAAACTACTAATATGCTTAACTAGATGCAGTTGCCTTGAATGGGCTCTCTCTTTTTTTGTTCTCAAGGCTGTACTGGGGCAATCTGGGGCTGTGCACACACCACAGTACAATTCCTCCCATGGTTTGATGCCCTGCACCATCAACCTGCATCATGGCCCCATTCTGTGACTCCTTCTCCTCCCAGGGTTAAGAGCAGCAATGAGAGCTATATTGTAGGAGGAGTCTACTCCAAATATGAGGGTTGAGGTGGCAGGAAGGAGGCTGCAGGGCTGTATTTATGTGTCTGCTTCCATGGGAGTGAATGGGCCAAGACTACTGCATGCATCCTTCTACTCAGGGTGCTGTTAGGTATTAAGCCACGTCAAACTTATGTCTAGATAGTTATGTCCATCAACAGTGTGATGAAGTGCAAGTTCTGCATAACTTTGCCTTGTTGGCAAATTTCCAGATTTAAGTATAATTGGAATTTCTTATATGATAAACCATAAAAAAGTCTCAGGAAGGCTTGCTTCTAGTGTTAAAGGAAACTTTTTAAAATAAGTAAGACTGTATTATACCTTAAACTTCTCCACTTCACTACAGAGCTTCTGCCAGTACTGAACGATTTCTAACTCCCTCCACCTTGGTACGTTCTTAAAGAAGGAGTATACATATTTTCAGAAAAACTAATCTATTAAAATGCTCTTAGGATCTTTTGTATGCAATTCAGTATAGCAAAAGTTATGTTCTTTACGTCTAATATCTGGAGAAGGATTAATTTTGAAGTCCCTTATTTTTATAATGCCAATAGTTTAGAAAGGTTTGAGGCTATGCTCAAGGTTAGGTTATTTTTTTGCCCTGCTCCCAGGTAGCTAATGTCTACACTAATCATTAGTTATTTGGGGAGCATTTCCAAACTATTTTGGAGTCTATTGAACTGCTTAAAGAGAACCTGGAAGCTAGACATGGTTTTCATCCTTTTCGTGGAAACCATCGAAGTTCTCCTGTTTCATCAATTAATGGAGCATTAATATCAAGTCCGATAATGTTTGAGCCACTTTGTTATATTTTTGTAAATTGACCAAAGGTAATCTTCTGAGTTTGCCTGTTTTGGTACAGTTTTGATTTTCATCCTAGATTTGTATCTAGAACATGTCAGTCTACAATGTGCAGCCTGTGAGATCATAGAATCGTAGAAAATTAGGGTTGGAAGGGACCTCAAGAGGTCATCTAATCCAAACCCCTGCTCAAAGCAGGACCATCTCCAACTAGATCATTCCAGGCAGGGCTTTGTCAAGATGGGCCTTAAAAACCTCCAAGGATGGAAATTCTACCACCTCTCTGAGTAACCTGTTCACTACCCTCCTAATGAGAAAATTCTTCCTAATATCTAACCTAAACTTCCCTTGCTGCACCTTGAAACCATTGCTCCTTGTTCTGTCATCTGCCACCACTGAGAAGAGTCTAGCTCCATCCTCTTAAGGCCCACCCTTGCGGGAGTTAAAGGCTGCTATCAAATCACCCTTCAGTCTTCTCTTCTCCAAACTAAATAAACCCAGTTCCCTCAGCCTCTCCTCAGAAGTCATGTACCCCAGCCCCCAAACCATTTTCAGTACTCTCTTCTGGACTCTCTCCAGCTTGTCCATATCCTTTGTATAGTGGGGGGGGGGGGGGGGGGGGGGTACTCCAGATGTGTCATCACCAGCACAAAATAGAGGGGAATAATTACTTCCTTTGACCTACTTACAACACTCCTACTAATGCAGCCCAGTATGCTGTTAACCTTCTTGGCAACAAAGGAACACTGCTGACTCATATCCATCTTATTGTTCACTGTAACCCCCAGGTCCTTCTCCACAGAGCTGCTGCTTAACCAATCAGTCTCCTGGATGTAGTGGTGCATGGGATTCTTCCATCCCAAGTGCAGGACTTTGCACTTGTCCTTGTTGAACCTCATGAGATGCCTTTTGGCACAATCCTCCAATTTGTCTAGGTCACTCTGAATCCTAGCCCTACCCTCCAGAGTATCTACTACTCTCCCCAGTTTGGTGTCATCCATAAACTTGCTGAGGGTGCACTCCATCCCATCTTCCAGATCATTAATGAAGATATTGAACAAAACTGCCCCCAGGACTGACCTCTGGGGCACTCCACTTGATACTGGGTGCCAGCTAGACATTAAGCCATTGATCCCAACACCCATTCAGCCCAACAATCCAGCCAGCTTTCTATCTTACAGTCCATTCATCCAACCCATACTTCCTCAGCTTGCTTACAAGAAAGCTGTGAGAGACCGTATCAAAAGCTTTGCTAAAATCAAGATATATTATGTTCATTGTTTTCCCCACATCCGCAGAGCCAGTTATCTAATCATAGAGGGCAATCAAATTGGTCAGGCATGACTTGCCCTTAGTGAATCCATGCTGATTGTTCCTAATCACCTTCTTCTCCTTCAAGTACTTAGAAATGGATTCTTTGAGGACCTGCTCCGTGATTTTTCCAGGGACTGAGGTGAAGCTGACTGGTCAGGAGTTCCCTGAATCCTCCTTCTTCCCTTTCTTAAAGATGGGCACTATGTTTGCCTTTTCCAATCGTCCAGAACCTTCCCTGATTGCCACAAGTTTTCAAACAAAATGGCCAATGGCTCTACAACCACATCAGCCAACTCCCTTAGCATCCTCAGATGCAGTGCATCCAGCCCCATGGACTTGTACACGTCTAGCTTTTCTAAATAGTCCCTAACCTGTTCTTTTGCCACTGTTAGCTGCTCACCTCCTCCCCAAACTGTACTGCCTGGTGCAGTAGTCGGGGAGCTGACTTTGCCTGTGAAGACCTAGGTAAAAAAGACATTGAGTACTTTAACCTTTTCCTCATCATCTGTCACTAGGTTGCCTCTCCCATTCAGTAATGGACCCACACTTTCCCTGACCGTCCTCTTGTTGCTAAAATACTTGTAGAAACCCTTCTTGTCCCTTGCTAGCTGCAACTCCAATTGAGCTTTGGTCTTCCTGACGTCATCCCTGCATGCCCGAGCAGTACTCTTATACTCCTCCCAAGTTGTTTGTCCAAGCTTCCACTTCTTGTAAGCTTACTTTTTTAAGTTCACCAAAAAGTTCTTCTCTAAGCCAAGCTGGTTGCTTGCCACATTTGCTATTCTTCCTGCGCATCAGGATGGTTTGTTTCTGTGCCCTCAGTAAGATTTCTTTAAAACACAACCAGCTCTCCTGGATTCCTTTCCCACTCAGATTGGCCTCCCAGGGGATCCTGCCCATCAGTTCCATGAGTTAAAGTCTACTTTTCAGAAGTCCAGGGTCCTTACTCTGCTGCTGTCAGTGGCAACGTGTAGGGGGTGCACAGGGGTACATGTGCAGCCCCTGAAAGTGTGGGTGCACCCCCTGACGGGCCGCGCTCCCTGCTTAAGCAATGGGCAGGAGGGGCAGATGGGAGCGCCGGTGCCCCGTTGCGAGTACTGGCCAGGGAGAGGGATTGCCAGATGAAGCACCACAGTCACCTCTGGGAGCGCAGCAGCTACTTCCCGGTCGGCAAGATTGGCTGCAGGGGGACTCCCCCCCAGTTGGTGAGGTTGGCCATGGGTGCCACCCCACCCCCCCGGTCAGCAGAGTGGCAGCTGACTAAGGTGGCACCAGTCGACCATGGCTGCTCTCCTTTCCTTTTTCTGTCAGGATCCTGAACTCAATCATCTCGTGGTCACTGCTGCCCAACTTGCCATCCACGTCTACATCCCTCACCAATTCTTTCCTGTTTGTAAGTAGTAGGTCAAGAACAGCATGGCCCCTAGTTGGTCTCTCCAACACTTGCACCAGGAAGTTGTCTCCAATGCTCTCCAAAAATTTCCTGGATTACCTGTGCACTGTCGTATTGCCCTCCTAGCAGATGTCACCCTGACAATAGTCCCCCATTGCAAACCAGGGCCTGTGATCTGAAAACTTCTGCTAGTTGCCTGAAGAAAGCCTCATCTACCTCATCCTCCTGGTCTGGTGATCTATAACACACACCCACCACAACATCACCCTTGTTGCCCTCACCTCGAACCTTAACTCAGATACTTTCAACAGACCTATCTCCAGTTTCATACTGGAGCTCTGAGCAATCATACAGCACTTTTGCATACAGTGCAACTCCTCCTCCTCTTCTCCCCTGCCTGTCCTTCCTGAACCATTTGTACCATGACCATTGTTCATGACAGTGTTCTAGTCACATGAGCTATCCCACCAAGTCTCTGATATTCCAATCATGTCATAGTTCCTTGACTATGCAAGCACTTCCAATTCTTACTGCTTGTTTCCCAGGCTCTGTGCATTTGTGTACAGGCACCTGAGGTGACTAGCCAATTGCCCTACTTTCTCAGGAAGAATGAGGTCTCTTGTGTTGCCCCCTCCTGCTTCTGCTTTCTCCAGGTCTCCTGCTTCCCTACTTATCTCAGGGCTTTGTTCTCTATCCACCTGCGAACCTAGTTTAAAGCTCTCCTCACTAGGTTAGCGAGCCTGTCTGCGAAGATGCTTTTTCCTCTCGTTGTCAGGTGGATCCCATCTCTTCCTAGCAAGCCGCCTTCTTGGAACAACATCCCATGGTTGAGGAAGCCAAATCCCTGCTGGCAACACTAACTGTGCAGCCATGCATTGGTCTGAAGGATGCATCTGCTCCTGCCAGGGCCCTTCCCCTTGACCAGAAGGATTGAGGAGAACACGACCTGTGCCCTATCCTCTTCACCTTTGAGAGAGCCCTGTAGTCTCTCTTGATTTGCTCAGGGTCACCCCTGGCAGTACCACTGGTGCCCACATGGACGAGCAGCATGGGATAGTAGTCAGAGGTCTGGACAAGTCCTGATAGTCCTTCCGAGACATCTTGGATCCAGGCTTCAGGCAAGCAGCAGACTGCCCGGGACAACAGGTCAGGCTGACAGATGAATCCTTCCATGCCCCGCAGAAGGGAGTCTCCAACCATCACCACCCAATGTTTCCTCTTTGTGGCAGATCTATAAATATATTTTCATGCATCACCTTTTGTGATTGTATGAAATCTTAGCAGCCTGATTATGGCATATATGTAGTGTTGCAGCTTGACTGTAAAACTATTCTGTGAACTCAAGTCATGCATAGCCAACACTGTCTTCCTGGAAGGGAAAAAAACACCTGGCAAAAAGTGTTGTAATTATTTGGGTGAAGTATTTGGGATTTCAGAAGCTGTTGTTGAATGTACTAACTACCCTCAAGTGCATTGTCCATGTGTCTGCACTCATTAGGAGTCTCATGCAGAGGAGTATCAAGCAGGTGAATAAAGTTGTTTGATGGATATTTTCAGCTAAATTACAATGCTACTTATTACTGTGGAAAAATTCTACTTTTTGTCAAACTTCAATTCTTCACATTCCAAAATGTCTCTGTGGTAACAGTTTCCAGTTAGGTGACCCATGTCCCCATGCTCTAAGATGCAGTACTGTACATGCATAATGAAAGATAGCATTGCTGGACATTAGTGTCAATTAATACTGGGTGTATTTCTCAGTACAGTTCTCATCCTTTAGTCTCTTTATTTTTGGGGGGGAAATTATATTGTCAGATATCACAATAATTTTTACCAGTTACTTCAAGAAATCCTCATGGGCAGGTATGAAGTTACATTATAAAATAGGAAGGATTTAGAAAACAGGGATTGAGAACAGGGGAGGAAAAATAAGGTCCCATTGTTAAATTGAGTATCTTATCTTTCATAGCTACTTCTGTCTGTTGATACATATGTTCAATTCCTGTCACAATTAGGAATTTTCAACAACAGAATCTGGTTTCCAGATTAATAATTGATAGTAAATACTACTCACAAGATTGATTCAGCTTTGATAGTATGAAAAGAGATTTCTCTTTTACAGTAATAATTTGTTTTTAAAGTAATTTTAATAGAATTTCCACAATCATCTTCCTGCTG